AAGAAACTGCACTGCAACACCAAAGCCATGCAATTTGAATCCACCAGCTGCTATGTGGGAGAAGGACACGCATGCGATCTCCTCTGGTGTGATCACTGCCTCTGGAAACCTGCCAGGTCAGCTATAGGTTGCTTCTGACTCAATGGTACACAACAACAACAAGCGACTCTATAGGACAGGACAGAACAGCCTTATGGGGTGTTAAAATTGTAACCCTTACAAAAGCACATTGTCTTACCTTTTTTTCCCACAAAGCAGATGGTGAATCCGGATCACCAACCTTCAGTTAACAGTATGCATTTAACCCTCGTGCCATCAGGGCTCCTTCTTTAGCACCTATGAAAACAGCTAGTGGCCTGTTGTTGTTGTTATGTGCCGTCAAGTCGCTTGCGACTCATAGCAACCCTATGGACAACAGCCCTAAACCCTGCTCTGTCCTGTGCCAATCGCACTGCCTCTGACACACCCATCCTGATTACCCCAGTAACTGAATCAATCCACCTCATAGAGGGCCTTCCCTTTCTGCGCCGTCCCTCCACCCTCCCAAGCATGATGTTCCTCTCCAAGGACCTCTCCCTCCTTACAACATGTCCAAAGTATGTCAGACGAAGACTCAGAATTCTTGCCTCCAAGGAGCAGCCTGGTTTAACCCTTTCCAGGATGAATCTGTTTGTTTTCTCGGCAGTCCATGGTACATTCAATACTCTTCTCCAGCACCATAGCTCATAGGCATCAATTCTCCTTCTATCCTCCCTAGTCATTGTCCAACTCTCTGATGCATAACAAGTGATTGTGAAGACCATAGCCTGTATCAGACGTACTTTAGTCTCCAGAGTGATACCATTACTCTTCAGTACCCTGGAGAGGTCTGTAACAGCAGACTTTCCCATCACAATACTTTTTTTTATTTCCTGGCTACTGGTGTCATGAGTGTTGACCATGGAGCCAAGCAGACTAAAGTTGTTAACAATCTCAATCTCTTCACCATCCATCCTGATGCTGCCAATTGCTCCAGTGGTGAGAATCTTTGTCTTATTGACATTGAGCCTCA